AACTAAAACTCATTCTCTCAAAATTCTTCAAAACTTTTCTAATATAGAAACCTATTTTGTACGTGCTGAGAACATTTGATTGGGGTTAATCCGCTTTATCATTTCAATGGGCAGATTATGAGAGCAAACTTGATAGCATTGATAGCTGTAAAGGTCTATCGAATATCAAGTCACATTGTGTTAAGTAAAGTTAACATTGTGATTGTAAAGTTAACAATGTGTTAAGTTAAGTTAAATTAAATGCGATCTGTAAAGTTAAGATTGTGATCTATAAAGTAATTATTTTTTATGCAAAGTTAACATTGTGATATGTAAAGTTGACATTTTGTTAAATAAAGTTAACATTGTTATCTTTAAAGTTAACAATGTGTTAAGTTAAGTTAAATTAAATGCGATCTGTAAAGTTAAGATTGTGATCTATAAAGTAATTATTGTGATATGTAAAGTTAAAATTGTGATTGAAAGAGTTAATTTTGTGATCAGCAAAGTTGACATTGTGATCGATAGAGTTAACATTGTAACTTGTAAAAGAAAACATTGGGACCTGTAATGTGAACATTGTGATATGTAAAGTTAACATTGAGATATATCAAATTAATATTGTAATCAGTAAAATTCGATTAAGAATTTGTGAGGTGGTTTTGAATAGATCTGATGTCAACGTTATGTTTTAAAAAGTTTAAGTTCCTTGTTATTTTTGGCCACGGTTAAGGTACCTATTTGCTTTGACCAAAGGTGCGTCCCATGTTAAGGATAACCAAGATTGCTGCCCATATTATGTTTGACTTAGGTTGAGAAAAGTTTGGGGTTGGTATCTGCCTTAACAACTGACTTTGACGTCACACATACACACACACTGGCCCAATGGATGTGACGTCACACATACACACCTTGCCAAACTGGCTGTGACGTCACATCCTGTTGCTGGATTTGTATGAAAAATATATTTTTTAACATTAAAAAGTTTCGTTTTTTAATCATTCAGCAGTTAAACTAAATAGTTAATTTTAATAAAGCATTAAGTGAAGTCTGGCCTCTGTGTACCCACATATGTGAAGTCTCATTGCACATTATTCTGTGAGTGATAAATATATCAATTTGTATTTTCTTGTAACTTATTTTATTTAATGTGCAATCGAATATTTATTTATTGTTCTTTGATTGAATTGATGAATCCCTTTAAAAATAATACATTTGCAATAGTTCTATATTATAAATGACCAGTCATTTCATGTCTAATTCATGTTATAAAATAACCAGCTAATACATTTTATATAGAGCCCGTCACTTCACGTTAATATAAAGTAACCAGCTAATACATGTTATAAAGTAACTAGTCACTTCATGTTATTATAAAGTAACCAGCTAATGCAATGTTATAAATTAACCAGTCAATACATGTATTAAAGCAAACAGTAGCATGGCCATTTAAACAAAATAATAAATCGTATCAGATATTCAAGAATATGTTTGACACAATAAATATTTATATCAAAGAACGTTCAATCACATATCGATTTATGCAATGTTGGGAAAAATCATAGTTAAGGTTGAAATGAATTGTGGCTTGAAAGTCAGGGGAGGGGTGCTATTTAATCGGAGGAGTGTTGCCTTGTTGGTCGAGGGAGTGGTGCCTTGAAATTCGGGGGAGGGGTGCCTTGTTGGTCGTGGGAGGGTTGCCTGGCAGGTTGGGGGTGGGGTGCCTTTGAAGGTCGGGGAGGGGTGCCTTGTTGGTCGTGGGAGGGTTGCCTGGCAGGTTGGGGGTGGGGTGCCTTTGAAGGTCGGGGAGGAGTGCCTTGTTGGGCGGTGGAGGGTGGCCTTGAAGTTATGGGGAGGGGTGCCTTGGAGGTCGGGGAAAGGGGTGCCTTGAAGGTCGGGAGGGGTGACTTGAAAGTCGGGAGGGGTGCCTTCGTAACTTGTTTGTTAGCCATTAGCTTTGCATATTCGAATCGTGTCATGAAAACATAAGACCTTGGAATAATATCGGTCGCATGTGTCAAAACAGCTGAGCAGCGGGTCTCAATAAAACATAGACAACTCACTCAATTATAACAAGTTTTAGAAAGTTTTAAGGCGTACTAAACAAAAGTCTATGTTGTTTGGTTTTTAATTCTCCAATAAAAAATAGACTAACTGTAATATTTTCTTATGGTAAGTTCTATTTTCTTGCGGAAAACGGTGTTACAAAGTCATGACCACGAATCGTTCTAAGCGATGTTCAGTCAACCGCGAATCAGCTGACTGGCGTGTCATCGGAAACATGTTAGACCTTTTCCTTTGACGCCCGTTGTGACCTTGACACGCTTTAAGACCTTGACGTGTGCACAGGTGAATGACAAATACCACCGTACAGCGCCACAAAATGGTGGCGGTATTTCTTGAACAAGAACGAAAGTGCAAGTGGTAGTACTGTAGTACGCAGTGCAAAGCGTACATAGACATTATGGGCAGATTTACGCCTTGGCGCTAGTCGGTTTTTATTCTGATTTTAAGTTTTGAAGTTATTCGTCATTGCTTTTATTCATATTTGTGACGTGCAATACATTTTAAAATGTATTATAAAAATATATTAGTAAAGTCTTGACCTATAACCTTAGTTAGCCACAGATATCAAAGTGAGCGATTGGTCTCAGTATCATGACGGCATTTCTATTAGCATGGTTAAATAAGCTTTTGATATGATGGTTGGAATTCTTAGTAGTAGTTACATGCAATATTCCCTTTAAGCTGCGCGGCTGCGCGGGACGCGCAGCTATCTCATAGACGCCGCGCAGCCGTTTTGAGGATCCGCGCAGCAAATTTCCATGCAAGTGTGTGTTAGTATTTGTGGGCTGTAAAATTTTGCACACAAAAAATCGTTGCTGTAAAACTTTGCACACAACTGTATGATTTTGCACATGAACCACAAACCTTAGAGGGAACATTGGTTACATGCTGGGTTAATTTTTTACAACATAGACAGCACTTCATGGGTTTAACATTTACAACATAGACAACACTTGCTGGGTTTAAGTTTTACAGCATAGACAATACTTGTTGGTTTAAGATTTACAACATAGACAAAAGTTGCTGGGTTTAAAATATACAACATATACAACATTTGTTGGATATAAAATGTATGACATAGACAATGTCTAGCAAGTTAAACTACCGGATTGGAATGTCTACCTCTGTATGATTATGGCACTACAAATGTACTGTGGCTCACTTCTTGAATACACTCTTTAGGCTGCAGCATTACCCACGATTAACATCAATCAAAACGGATGTCTCAAAATTAGGAGATTGAACATAAAATTGATAGAAAGGGAGTCGTTATACCTATTTTTGGCCAAATGTCACTGGCACAGGGCCACGTGGCATGACATGGATATCTATGGCACATGGCCACCTGGCATAACATGGGCATCTGATATAAATGGTGTACCTTTATTTTAATAAAGTATTTTGTGTAGACAACAATCAAGAGTCCTATTTCATCCTGACAATATAGTAACATGTAATCATCATGTCAATAGAATAACATGTAATCATCATGTCAATAGAATAACATGCAATAATCATGTCAATAGAATAACATGTAATCATCATGTCAATAGAATAACATGCAATAATCATGTCAATAGAATAACATGTAATCATCATGTCAATAGAATAACATGCAATAATCATGTCAATAGAATAACATGTAATCATCATGTCAATAGAATAACATGCAATAATCATGTCAATAGAATAACATGTAATCATCATGTCAATAGAATAACATGTCTTCTTCTTCTTCTATATCTTAAGGGCCCACGATCAATTTATTGATCATTTTGGCTCCTATGCATGTAGATGGGATTTGCAATGTTTCTGTTACTGGTGGTGATGAGGAAATTATGCACTAGGGGTTTGAAGGCTTGAGGCAATAGACACAAATGCGTCTAGTGTTGTCGCCTCAACTGTTCCTTTTGAAAGATGGTTCCAGTCCCTGATTGTCTTGGGCAGGAATGAGCAGCTCCTATACTGGCTTCTTGCTGGTATGAGCCTGAATTGCCTGTCATGGCCTCGTCGCTGTCTATGGGGGAGAGGGACGAGTTTCTGTTTAATACTGGAACAGTGGACCAGCCCATTATTTATCTTGTACATCATGGAGAGCCTGGATTGTCGTCGTCGTTTCTCCAATGGTGACCAGCCTAGTGTTTCTAGCATGCTGCCAACACTAGAGGTATTCCTGTAGCGGTTTAGGACAAAACGTGCTGCTCGTCGCTGGACCGCCTCCAACCTGTCAATGCTCTTCTGGGTAAATGGGTCCCAGACTGAAGATGCATAATCTAAAAACAGACGGATAAAGGCTTTATATGCTCTTTCTTTCACACAGGAGTTGCCAATCTTTAGATTTCGTCTTAAGAACCCCAAGGCTTGGTTTGCTTGGTTGCATGTAATCATCATGTCAATAGAATAACTTGTATTGATCCTGTCAATAGCGTAACTTGTAATCATTCTGTCAATAGAGTAACTTGTAATCATCCTGTCAATAGAGTAGCTTGTAATCTTCCTGTGATTAGCGTAACTTGTTATAATCCTGTCAATAGATTAATTTGTAACTTTTTACTATCTTCATGGCAATGCGTAAATGTTATGCAACACTGTGAAGAGATATTGGTAAAAAGAAAAACCCGGCAATTTTGAATTTATAAAAACAGTTCAACAGCCTGATTTATAAGTCTATCTTTTGTGTGCAATTTATAGATGCCCCTGACCTAATTCTCCTCATATCTATATGTAAACTATATGCAGTTCTCGAAAACAATCTATTATTGCCTCACATCAGACTGATAACTGGTGCCAACCTCCCATTTTCTTGCATGACTTTGAGGCCATTCAATTTCTCAATGACACGCCTTACATTAATAGCGCTCAGTGCAGAAAACATGGCGAACAAGTTTCCTAAAGGAATCACCTCTGTGACATTGTGGTGTTGAGAGGGGTGCTGGCACAGTTCTGACCAATGGGAGATAAGTGCCCTTTAATATCACATTAGACGTCTTGTCATGTGATTGCCAAACTTTGAACATTGAAACTTTTCTGTGGAGTTAACCAGCCTGTGGTGTACAAGCCAACCTTTGAACATTGACACTTTTCTGTGGAGTTAACCAGCCAGTGGTGTACAAGCCAAACTTTGAACATTGAAACTTTTCTGTATGGTTAACCAGCCAGTGGTGTACAAGCCAAACTTTGAACATTGAAACTTTTCTGTGGAGTTAACCAGCCAGTGGTGTACAAGCCAAACTTTGGAAAGTAATTTACGATATAACTGTTCAAGATTCACGCTACACGCATACAATTCTTTCAAAAAAAACCAACAACGTTGATTTGGATAACACGGCCGCTTATAAATTCTTTGATGCACAGTAAGCTTATTTTGTATGTGCACAGTTTCCATAAATAGATTGACCTATGAACCGAATTGTCTATACCAAATCATCTGCGGTTTTTTTATCATAAAAAATGTGAATGACCGATGTTATGTAAAAAAAAAATGCTTTTGAAAATTATTAAAAATGCATTTTTTCTTTTATTCAAAACCTGTTCAGATTCGTTTATTAAAAATTGAACAATGGCCATTTACATCTCAATCATATCGTCAACATTTCATTGTTTAATCTCTCAATGTAAAGACTACCACTATATAGACATATGACTATAGATAAATGCCTCGTTTATCTGTTAAGACGCATGATTAAAAGAGATCAAGGTTGAACAGGTGAATTTGAAATTTTGGTTGGTAATAAGGACAATCGGGGGGGGGGGGCGTCGTGACCTTTTCCGCATGGAATAACAAACGTTTTATTTATTTAATGAAGCTATTTAAAAACGTATGTGGTCCTCTAGCGATAAAAGACAATAGACATATGACTATAGATAAATGCCTCGTTTATCTGTTAAGACGCATGATTAAAAGAGATCAAGGTTGAACAGGTGAATTTGAAATTTTGGTTGGTAATAAGGACAATCGGGGGGGGGGGCGTCGTGACCTTTTCCGCATGGAATAACAAACGTTTTATTTATTTAATGAAGCTATTTAAAAACGTATGTGGTCCTCTAGCGATAAAAGACCTTCAAAAACGTATGTGGTCCCCTAGCGATAAAAGACATTTAAAAACGTATGTGGTCCTCTAGCGATAAAAGACATTTAAAAACGTATGTGGTCCTCTAGCGATAAAAGACATTTAAAAACGTATGTGGTCCTCTAGCCATATAAGTCATTTATAAACGTATGTGACCCTCAAATGATATAAGACATATACACTTGGGTGGTCCGCAAGTAACATAAGACATTTATAAAATTATGTGGTCCTCTAGCAATATAAGACATTGATAAACTTGTGTGGTCTTCTAGCCAGACAAGACATTTATGAAATTGTTTGGTCATCTGGAAATATAAGACTTTAAATAATTGTGTGGTTCACTTAAATAAAATACTTTATAAACATGTGTGGTCCTCAAGCAATATGAGACATTTATATACTTGTAAGGTCCTCTAATGATAAAAGATATTTATATACTTGTGTAGTCCTCCAGCGATATAGGAAAGTAATATACTTTTGTGATCCTCTAGCGATGTAAGACAATTACAGAGTTGGCTGTCCTCTAGATAAGGGGGCCTGGACTATGTTGTTGATGAGTTAGGTTTTCCTCTAATTAATGGGTTAGGTTATCATCTAGTAAGTGGGTTAGGTTGTTATCAAATTAATGGATTAGGTTGTCATCTAGTTAAAGAGTTACGTTGTCGTCAAATTAATGGATTAGGTTGACATCTAGAAAATGGGTTAGGTTGCCCTTTAGTTAATGGGTTAGGTTGTCCTCTAATTAATGGTTTAGGTTGTCATCTAGTTAATGGGTTAGGTTGTCCTCTAATTAATGGTTTAGGTTGTCATCTAGTTAATGGGTTACGTTATCCTCTAATTAATGGTCTTAGGTTGTCCTCTAATTAATGGTTTAGGTTGTCATCTAGTTAATGGATTAGCATGTCATCTAGTTAATGGGTTAGGATGTCATCTAGTTAATGTGTTAGGTGGTCCTCTAGTTAATGGGTTAGGTTGTCATCTAGTTAATGGGTTAAGTGATCCTCTAGTTAATGGGTTAAGTTGTCCTCTAGTTAATGGGTTAGGTTGTCCTATAGTTAATGGGCTAGGTTGTCCTCTAATTAATGGTTTAGGTTTGTCATCTAGTTAATGGTTTAGGTTGTCATCTAGTTAATGGGTTAGGTTGTCCAATTGTTAATGTTTTATGTTGTCCTCTAGTTAATTCGTTAGGTTTCCTCTAGTTAATGGGTTGAGTCGTCCCCTTGTTAATGGGTTATGTTTTTCTATAGTTAATGTGTTAAGTTATCCTCTAATTAATGAGTTAGGTTTTCCTCTAGTTAATGGGTTAGTTTGTCCTCTAGTTTATTGGTTAGATTGTCCTCTAGTTATGGTTTAGGTTTTCATCTAGTTAATGGTTTAGGTTGTCCTCTAATTAATGGGGCCTTGTTTAGTTTTTCGTTTTAGTTAAGGGGACTTAGGAAGTAGGCAACCACGTTTTGAGATAAGTTATCTCACAACACATTTCTGTATTCCCTTAGAGAATGTGCAGTAGCTGGTTGAACTTTCTGACACCTGATAATTGGAGATAATGACGTCATTGTAACGGTTCTTCTGTTCTGTTTGAATCGCACTGAAACTTAAACACATACTTGTCTTCTGTGGGTGAAATGGAAACAAAAGATGGCAATCAAAATGGTAAGAAAGACAATGCCGACAAACTGGCAACTCGGGACAATGGAGACAAAAATCAGGACACTGTGACATTCCGTAACACTGCATACAACTCAGCTAACAATGGTGGCTCGCCTAACAGCAATCCAGAGCAGGTGGTTCTCAGTAAGTATGAGAAGGGGGTTCATGACGGAAGTGATATGGAGGCAGCCATTAAAAAGACGATATCGCAAACGTGGCACGCACCGGATGGTGGGTAAGTTAAACATTTGAACTTTGAACTCTATAAAAACTTTCATTTTGCCAAAGGATTGAGAGTTTGTAATAAATGTTAATTGTCTGAACATGTTACCAGTAAACCAATAGTTATAATATATTACCAGTAAACCAACATTTACAATGTTATCAAAAAACCAACATTTATAATATGTTACCAGTAAACCTCTCAGTTAGATATGGCTTGATTTGATAATCTGATAATCTTTTAATCCCTTAGATATTGCTGGGTGATTGTTGTAAATGGCATGATTATCTTTTAATTCCTCAGATATGGCTGGATAATTGTTGTAAGTGGCCTAATTATTAGCCTCATCGTGGATGGCCTGACGTATACTTTCGGCCTTTTTCTGGGAGATTTTGAAAGAGCCTTTAATCAGCCAAAAAGTACAATAGCGTTGGCCAGTTCACTGCAGGTCGGAATCTACCTCATGATAGGTGAGCAATGCTATATATCTACGCCATGATAGATAAGCAATGTTATATATCCACCTCGTAATAGGTGATCAATGTTATATATCCACCTCGTAATAGGTGATCAATGTTGACTTTCGGATTTTAGTTTAAAAATAATTAAATATTATATCTTTATAGAAATTCGGAATGTAGTTTAGGATTAGTGACTTTGTTAATTTAATGAAAGTTGAGATTGTAAGTGACACTATTAAAATAGTTCCTGGTCAATGCGTTTGTGTTGAATCTTACTGCCTTCATAAATTGTATAGAGAAATGAAATAAATATTTATCATATAGTTTTTTCATTGTTCGTGTTTTTTTTTCCAAATAATTACAAGTAATTAAATCAAATAAATTTAGACCAAAATTTGATTGCAAAAGCAAAATGTTCTCAATCATTATTTATTGAAACACATGTTTTACACATATTGATATGTAGCTTAGGTTTGATTTACTGGATAGAAGCGTTTGTGTTCAAACCAATTAAAAACAACTATCTTGTTACAGGACCTGTGGTCAGTGTGTTGACCAACCGCTTCGGATGTCGGGCAATCATTATTGCTGGCTCATTGATAGCTGGCCTTGCTTTCATTGTTAGCTCATGGAGTCCAAACGTGACAATGTTGATATTGACCTACGGGGTTTTTGGAGGTTAGTCATTTTATGTTAGGGAAAATGGTGGTATGTCGCTGCACAAGAAAACCATTTTTAACGGTGTATTCTGTCTGGTAAGAGATTGGACACCACTTTTTATTTATCTGTTGTGAAACTGGTTTAGGGTTAGTTTCAAGGATAGAACAACTATATCTTTTAGACTTGAAGTGAAACTGGTTAGGGTTAGTTTCAAGGACAGAACAACAATTTCTTTTGGGTTGACGTAAAACTTGTTAGGGTTAGGGTTAGTTTCAAGGACAGAACAACAATTTCTTTTGGGTTGACGTAAAACTTGTTAGGGTTAGTTTCAAGGATACAACAAGAATTTCTTTTAGACTTGATGTGAAACTTGTTAGGGTTAGGGTTAGTTTCAAGGATAGAACAACAAATTTCTTTTAGATTTGATGTGAAACTGGTTAGGGTTAGTTTCAAGGATAGAACAAGAATTTCTTTTAGACTTGATGTTAAACTGGTTAGGGTAAGTTATAAGGATAGAACAACAATTTCTTTTAGACTTGATGTGAAACTGGTTAGGGTAAGTTATAAGTATAGAACAACAATTTCTTTTAGACTTGATGTGAAACTTGTTAGGATTAGGGTTAGTTTCAAGGATAGAACAGCAATTTCTTTTAGACTTGGTGTAAAACTTGTCAAAAGACAAGAAAGAAGAGAAACGCTTAGACTGAAAAAATGTAGTGTAGTTTCATCTGCAAGCATGATTGTTGAGTGTCGGCTGTAAAATAAGTTTAACCTTTCATTGTTGAAGCCACTTGTAAGATTAGCTTACTCTTTCATTGTTGATATAGCTTTAAAATTAAGTTAACCTTTTATTATTGATCTCAGCTGTAAGATTAGGTTACTCTTACATTGATCATCTCAACTGTAAGTTTCGGTTACCCTTTCATTATTGATCTCAGCTGTAAGATTAAGTTTATCCTTTTCATTGCTGATCTCAGCTGTAAGATTATTTTTCCCTTTCATTGTTCATCTCAGTTGTAAGATTAAGTTTACACTTTCATTGTTCATCTCAGCTTTAAGATTAGTTTACCCTGTCATTGTTGATCTCAGCTGTAATATTTGTCTTTTGGAATTAGTCTTTGTGCGTGTTTGATCATACTGCTACATTTTTTATTATATTGGTAAATGTTTGATTACATTGGTACATGTTGCTTTTATGTTTTCATCAACTTTAAAAACTGTATTTAATTACGAAGATGGCTCATCATATACAGAGTGTAACAATTTCTAAAAGCCAAAAGCTTAGCCTTCAATAATTATGTAATTATTTGCTCCCACCTTATTACATATTGTAGTCGATATTGTGTGTCTCCTAAATGATTGAATATGTTATCAACATTGTCATCCTTATCCAGGTATTGGGTTTGGAATGATGTACCTCCCTTCAGTCGTGGCCGTCAGTGTCTACTTTGAACGCAAGAGGGCGCTGGCTACCGGTATTTCTGTTTGCGGGTCTGGCATCGGCACCTTCCTCCTGGCACCCATCACTGAGATCATTCTGCACGAGTACAACTGGAGCTGGGCGCTACTTATTCTAGGTGCCATCATCCTCAACGGTGTTGTGTTTGGGGCGTTAGTCCGACCTCTGGATTTTAGATTCAGTGAAAAGTTTTATGAAGAGGATAATAACAAGAACAGTGTGAAGGTCATCAAAGGGAAAGAGATGGAAGGAAGAGTGGGCTTCCCTTCAAACGGGGACAAGGGGCCGGAACTGCAACCCTTGATAACCGTTACAGACGAGAAGGAAGCAGAGAAGTTAAATCATGAGAAAAAGAAACAAAGAACAGACCTTCTCAATGTACCTGGACGGGGAGATCAAATATTTGCATCCACACCTGACATTGGCCAGGTAGGTATCAACACCTGACATTGGCCAGGTCTAGCCACTGTTGAAAGGGTCATGATTTCTTGGTCAAATTTAAAAGGATTGTTCAGGTTTTTTTCTTAAACTATTTGCTATATTTTAAAATGTCATCAAATTGTTAGAGAACAATTTTATAAAAATTGCTTTACATAGTCTTCAAAAAGTGGCATTTTTTAAAGAGTGTACATTAAAATTCATAAATTTGAAAAGTGTCTAAAAATGTACATGAATCTCGGAAACAACACAGAATCAACATTTACAGACGCATTTTCTTGCTCATTACTGTAGACTTACGAGATTCAGCTTGGTGTAGATCCACCATTTCTTTCCTGTAGGCGCCTTGATTAAAACATAAACTATTAACATTCAACATTGTATCAATATTTCTTTTTATAAAGTTATCACATTAATCTAATCTAATGGTTCATTTGTTTAAATTGCTAAGATTACCATCGTTGTTTAAATTATTTATGTTGACTACAGTTGCTCGTCAGCCAAATCATGTCTCCCGGTCTTTGGCCAATTCTCGCGTGGTTTATCAATGAATTGAATGTTCAGCCTCTCTAATTCTCTGGGTAAAAATACTTTCTAAAATTAACTTTTCTTACATGTTTCCCTTCTGCTCCAGTATCGGGAGGTTAGACTTCATTCTATGTTAGTTCAGGCGGTCTTATAATGTCTTATACAGTCTTATAATGTCTTATAATGTTTTCGTAATTTTCTTTTCAAAAAATAATAATATTTTATAACCATGAGTTATTTTGGTGGGGGTTTTTTTTTAAGTCTGGGAGTCGGAAAAATTCCACACCGAGTGTGACCTTCCACGCAGATGACCACCAGCCTCGCTTGAGATCTAACACATTCGACGCTTCCCGAAATACACCAGCACCGGATACTTCCGATGTACTCAACAGGTCACAGAAGTCGGGTTTAAATAAATCTCACACCAGCATGGCGTCCAACAGGAGTCAATCCCATGCTCCATTGGGTAAGTGGTTATGTGAAAAGATTAGGGTAAGTGGTTAGGGTAGGGGTTAGGGTAAGTGGTTAAGGTAAGTTATGCAAGAATTGAAGAAAATGTGTTATGTGTTTGTGGGCAGACTGGGAACGAATTGGGGGAAATGTGTTATGTGTTTGTGGGCAGACTGGGAACGAATTGGGGGAAATGTGTTATGTGTTTGTGGGCAGACTGGGAACGAATTGGGGGAAATGTGTTATGTGTTTGTGGGCAGACTGGGAACGAATTGGGGGAAATGTGTTAGTAGGTGTAAATAATTTTGTGATGATGTAGAGGGGGGGGGGTGAAATCGTCTTACGAATCGTGACGTCATTTATGTTTGTCCCCATATTTCAAGATACAATGATACACATCGGAAGCTCAGTATCAAAGATAAGGACTAGGACATTAAGGTCTAATTAATGTTGATAGATCTATGAAGTGTCACTCTTGGAAATTAAAGTCTAATTAATGGGGATATGGCAATGAATTAATTTGCTGGGACATTAAGGTCTAATTAATTGGGATAGATTTATGAAGTGTCACTCTGGGACATTAAGGTCTAATTAATGGGGATAGAGCAATGAATTAATTTGCTGGGACATTAAGGTCTAATTAATTGGGATAGATCTATGAAGTGTCACTCTGGGACATTAAGGTCTAATTAATGGGGATAGATCTATGAAGTGTTCTGCGCCATTTAATTCGTTCTGAACGAAATGTAGTGTTGAAATTGTAAAATTAAAACTATGTTTTAAATACATAATTGGAATTAATGAGAAAAAAGTTTGTTTCATTGCGATAGATGACAGCGCTTAGATGGGAGCATTGAATGTGATAGATGACAGCGTTGAATGCGATAAATGGCAGGATTGAATGCGATATATGGTAGCACTGAATGCGATATATGGTAGCACTGAATGCGATATTTGGCAGTACTGAAAAATCAAAACATTGTTTTTAAAATGTGTTTATATGTGAAGATATTTTTAATGGCTTAGAATTAAATGCGACTTGAGCGTGGATACATTAAAATCTTATGGTTTATCCTTACTTCCATTTCAACACTTTAGTTATGTGTTTAAAACTTTTTTTCTAACAATGTGCATTGTCCACGTGTAAAGTGATCACCTATCTTAGTGTGCTGACCTATCTTAATGTGGTGACCTATCTTAATGTGGTGACCTATCTTAATGTGCTGACCTATCTTAATGTGCTGACCTATCTTAATGTGGTGACCTATCTTAATGTGCTGACCTATCTTAATGTGGTGACCTATCTTAATGTGGTGACCTATCTTAATGTGCTGACCTATCTTAATGTGCTGACCTATCTTAATGTGGTGACCTATCTCAATGTGGTGACCTATCTTAATGTGGTGACCTATCTTAATGTGCTGACCTATCTTAATGTGGTGACCTATCTTAATGTGCTGACCTATCTTAATGTGGTGACCTATCTCAATGTGGTGACCTATCTTAATGTGGTGACCTTTCTTAATGTGCTGACCTATCTTAATGTTCTGACCTATCTTAATGTGGTGACCTATCTCAATGTGGTGACCTATCTTAATGTGGTGACCTATCTTAATGTGCTGACCTATCTTAATGTGGGGACCTATCTTAAAGTGCTGACCTATCTTAATGTGGTGACCTATATTAATGTGGTGACCTATCTTAATGTGCTGACCTATCTTAAGGTGCTGACCTATCTTAATGTGGTGACCTATCTCAATGTGGTGACCTATCTTAATGTGCTGATCTATCTTAATGTGTTGACCTATCTTAATGTGCTGACCTATCTTAATGCACTGACCTATCTTAATGTGCTGACCTATCTTAATGTGCTGACCTATCTTAATGTGCTAACCTATCTTAATGTGGTGACCTATCTTAATGTGGTGACCTATCTTAATGTGCTGACCTATCTTAATGTGCTGACCTATCTTAATGTGGTGACCTATCTTAATGTGGTGACCTATCTTAATGTGCTGACCTATCTTAATGTTCTGACCTATCTATTTTGCATGTTCCAAATTTCAGGTCTTGCTTTTGTCAGTCTCTCGGACATGCAGCTGAATAAAATACGAGATGAAGTTCACGCGCCGGTAGGCCGGAAGGACATTCACCTGTCCGGTACACTAGCCGAGCCCACCTGGGACATTGACCTGCCCGGGGGCGGGGTTCCAGATGGACTGGTCATACAAAGCATTGAGTGAGTGGACATGGGATCGGGAGTGGACATGGGATCGCGAGTGGACATGGGATCGGGAGTGGACATGGGATCGGGAGTAGAATGGGATGGGGAGTGGACATGGGATCAGTAGTAGACATGGGATCGAGAGTGGACATGGGATCCAGAGTGGACATGAGATCGGGAGTGGACTTGGGATCGGGAGTTGACATGGGATCGGGTGTGGACATGGGATCGAGAGTGGACATGGGATCGGGAGTGGACATGGGATCGAGAGTGGAATGGGATGGGGAGTGGACATGGGATCAGTATTAGACATGGGATCGAGAGTGGACATGAGATCGGGAGTGGACATGGTATTCAGAGTGGACATGAGATCTAGAGACCGACCGAATGTGATTTTCTAATTTCGGCCGAAGCCGAAAATAGGCCGAAAGTTTAAAATGACTTTCGGTCGAAACCAAAAAAATGCCGAAAGTTTAAAAATGGCTTTCGGCCGAAACCGAAAAAAGGCCGAAAGTTACAACTAAATTTTGGCCGAAACCGAAGCCGAAACCGAAGCCGAAACCAAAAATGGAATATTAATATATTTTGAAATTCGTTCCCGCATACATTCTGCATACATCGAAAATGATGTGGGAAAGTATAAATATTTACATTCTTTTTATAAAAAAATTAGATATCGTGAATATTAATAAATAAACATCTAATATAGGGGTCTCAAACTCGCGGCCCGCGAGCCATTTGTGACCCGCAAGACGATATTTTGCGGCCCGCTACATGACAGAAAAGTTTAGTGTAAATGCGCCGGCGCGTTTCCCCCATTCTCATATCTATAACGTGACTCTCCGCGACGGTTTCAGTCGAATCTCACCGATTAGTCTAATTCTGATTTTTTATATTTTTTAAAAATGTTTCTATATATTTTTGTGTGCCCGGTCTCTGGCAACAGTGAGTAGTTCTTGAGAACCCTTAATGATTTTATTGTTATTTATATAGGTTGAACAGATTGCAACTGTCGTAATCGCTTTTTTTGTGGATTACTTGATGCGGCCCACTCTCATTCAGACACTACCTCCTGTGCCCCCCTCGTCCCATGATTTGAGTTTGAGACGCTTTATCTAATGAACACTTTGGATTTTACCATTTTAATATAAAAGTAATTTAAATTGCTTTACAATTTTTTTTTAAATTAGTACGGTAGGAGAAAATTTGGCTAAAATTGGGGGGGGGGAGGAGGGGAAATTAATGCAAAATATAATTTTTTTAAACAGGGTCTCTAAAAAATTTGGTTCTAAAAGATCGCTTAATTTTTTTTTAAAGATCGTTTAGTTGGTTGTTATTGATCGGTTAGTTTGTTCTTAATGATCGGTGAGTTTGTTGTTAATGATCGTTTAGTTTGTTGTTAAAGATCGTTTAGTTTGTTGTTAAAGATCGCTTAGTTTGTTGTTAAAGATCGTTTTGGTTGTTCTTAAAGATCGCTTAGTTTGTTGTTAAAGATTGTTTAGTTTGTTGTTAAAGATCGTTTAGTTTGTTGTTAAGAATCGTTTAGTTTGTTGTTAAAGATCGCTTAGTTTGTTGTTAAAGATTGTTTAGTTTGTTCTTAAAGATCGCTTAGTTTTTTGTTGAAGATCTTTTAGTTTGTTAATAAAGATCGCTTAGTTTGTTGTTAAAGATCGCTTAGTTTGTTGTAAAGATCGCTTAGTTTTTTCATAAAGATCGCTTAGTTTGTTCTTAAAGATAATTAATTTTGTTCCTTAAGATCGCTTTGTTTGTTCTTAAAGATCTTTTAGTTTGTTCCTAAAGAACATTTAGTTTTCTGTTAAAGATCGCTTAGTTTATTCTTATAAATCATTTAGTTTACTAATTAAAGATCATTTGTTTTGTTCTTAAAGATCATTTAGTTCGGTCTTAAAAATCATTTAGTTTGTTCTATTAGAGCGTTTAGTTTGTTATTAAAGATCGCTTAGATAGTTCTTAAAGATCGCTTAGTTTGTTTTAAAGATCGTTTAGTTTGTTCTTAAATGTCCCTTAGTTTGTTGTTAAATATCGCTTTCGCTGAGTATTAAAATGAAATCCGGCCGAAAGTCTAAGTCAGTTTCGGCCGAAACCGAAGAAAAACCGAACGTTAACTTTTCTCTTTCGGCCGAAACCGAAATTAAGCCGAAATTTAACTTTTCAGTTTCGGCCGAAACCGAAACTTGGCGAAAGTGATAAAATGGCCACTTTCGGCGCCGAAACCGAAGCCGAAGCCGAAATTCGGTTGGTCTCTAATGAGATCGGGAGTGGACATGGGATCGGGAGTTGACATGGGATCGGGAGTGGACATGGGATCGGGAGTGGACATGGGATCGAGAGTGGATATGGGATCGGGAGTGGACATTGGATTCAGACTGGACATGGGATCGGACTGTTTAGATTTCTTCAAAGGTTTTTCATCTTGATATAAGAGATAAAATAATTCATGGCTTTATCTATAAGGACGAGAATCTTTTCAAGAGACAGTGTAATGCAAGTGGACAGTGGACGATGGTCAAGGGCCGATGTTTTATATACGATTGATAGGGGACTTCTATTAATTTATCAAACTAAAAATAAGGAGACTTTCAAGCTAAACATATGAAACAAAAAACTGTCGTCCCACATTTCAAATTAGAATGACATGTTTTATCCATCATATTTCTACGTCCCCCGTGAAGGTCAGGGTATCATATTTCTACGTCCCCGGTGAAGGTCAGGGTATCATATTTCTACGTCCCCGTGAAGGTCAGGGTATCATATTTCTACGTCCCCGGTGAAGGTCAGGGTATCATATTTCTACGTCCCCGGTGAAGGTCAGGGTATCATATTTCTACGTCCCCGGTGAAGGTCAGGGTATCATATTTCTACGTCCCCGGTGAAGGTCAGCGTATCATATTGCTACGTCCCTGATGAATAAGGTCAGGGTACGCCCCGAGGACAGGGTATCTACATCCCTGATGAAGAAGGTCTGGGTATCCTATTGCTACGCTCCTGATGGAGAAGGTCAGGGTACGCCCCGAGGTCAGGGTATCTACGTCCCTGATGAAGAAGGTCTGGGTATCCTATTGCTACGCTCCTGATGGAGAAGGTCAGGGTACCATTTTGCTACGCTCCTGATGAAGGAGGTCAGGGTACCATTTTGCTACGCTCCTGATGAAGGAGCTCAGAATACTATTTTGCTACGCTCCTAATGAAGGAGGTCAGGGTACCATTGTGCTACGCTCCTGATGAAGGAGGTCTGGGTTTACGATTGCCCCAAGGGTATAACTATGATGACATTATAATGACACATTGATAGAGCTTGTGGTGGAAGCTATTTTAAGATGTTGCTAGAAATGTTAGGCTACACATCTCTGATAAAAATGTTAGGCTACACATCTCTGATAAAAAATGTTAGGCTACACATCTCTGATAAAAAATGTTAGGCTACACATCTCTGATAAAAAAGGTTAGGCTACACATCTCTGATAAAAAATGTTAAGCTACACATCTCTGATAAAAAATATTAGGCTACACATCTCTGATAAAAATTTTAGGCTACATTATGTTCTGGTCGCATGACCAATAAGTGTCACTTTGATTATATCGATCAAAATAATCTATGCCAAGTTGTTAATAGAATATGATATTACAGAGTTATGCCCAGCAAAAAAGTTACGGGGATCTGGGCATGTCTACCAGACTCAGCCAGGGACACAATAGAAGAGATGTTGGACATAAGTATATTGAAGGTAATCATTCAGTTTAGCCTATCTCTCTGCCTGTCTCTTTCTATGTGTGTGTGTGTGTGTGTCTCTCTGTCTATACCTTTGTCTCTCTCTATCTCTCTCTCTCTCTCTCTCTGTCTCTCTCTCTCTCTCTCTTTCTCTCACAATCCATTTCTCCCATTTAAGCTCTTTCTTTCTCTCTTTCTCTCTTCATTTTTCTCTCGCTATCCTATACACACAATTTTCCTCTAATACTGTATGTCTTTTTATCTATGTTTCCTTCTCTCCGTGTCTGTTTCTGGTTCCTCTATATTTCCTTATTTCCCTTCCTATCTTAATTTCTCAAAATCTATCAATTCACTTAAAATTGTTATTGCTCATTCCACTCTGATTTTGGTAAACATGTCATATTTTGTTTCTTTGTCTTTATCTCCATCTCTATGTCCTAGGTCAAAATTTCTCTTTCTCTCCTCTTTCTCAATAACTTTTTTGTCAATCCCTTTTAAAATCTCTCCTTAGCTGATAGTTTTCTTTACTCTCTCCCCTTCTCCTCTCTCTCTCTCTTTTTTTCTCTCTCTCTCTCTCTATTTCTCTCTCTTATGTCTATATCTATTTCTACTGTGTATGTGTTGCTTGTCATTAGCTTTAATATCAACTGTCCCCAATGCTATACTGTGTCTGTGTTGTTTGTCATAGCAAATCAGCTCTAACATCCATTATCCCATATGTTATACTGTGTCTGTGTTGTTTGTCATGGCCAATTAGTTCTAACACCCATTGTCCCCAATGTTATACTGTGTCTGTGTTGTTTGTCATAGCAAATTAGCTCTAACATCCATTATCCCCAATGCTATACTGTGTCTGTGTTGTTTGTCCTGGCCAATTAGTTCTAACACCCATTGTCCTCAATGTTCTACTGTGTCTGTGTTGTTTGTCATGGCCAATTAGTTCTAACACGCATTATCCTCAATGTTCTACTGTGTCTGTGTTGTTTGTCATGGCCAATTAGTTCTAACACCCATTGTCCTCAATGTTCTACTGTGTCTGTGTTGTTTGTCATGGCCAATTAGTTCTAACACCCATTGTCCTCAATGTTCTACTGTGTCTGTGTTGTTTGTCATGGCCAATTAGTTCTAACACCCATTGTCCTCAATGTTCTACTGTGTCTGTGTTGTTTGTCATGGCCAATTAGTTCTAACACCCATTGTCCCCAATGTTATACTGTGTCTGTGTTGTTTGTCATGGCCAATTAGTTCTAACACCCATTGTCCCCAATGTTATACTGTGTATGTGTTGTTTGTCATGGCCAATTAGTTCTAACACCAATTGTCCTCAATTTTCTACTGTGTCTGTGTTGTTTGTCATAGCAAATTAGTTCTAACACCCATTGTCCTCAATGTTCTACTGTGTCTGTGTTGTTTGTCATGGCCAATTAGTTCTAACCCCCATTATCCTCAATGTTCTACTGTGTCTGTGTTGTTTGTCCTGGCCAATTAGTTCTAACAGCCATTGTCCTCAATGTTCTACTGTGTCTATGTTGTTTGTCCTGGCCAATTAGTTCTAACCCCCATTGTCCTCAATGTTCTACTGTGTCTGTGTTGTTTGTCCTGGCCAATTAGTTCTAACACCCATTGTCCTCAATGTTCTACTGTGTCTGTGTTGTTTGTCATGGCCAATTAGTTCTAACACCCATTGTCCTCAATGTTCTACTGTGTCTGTGTTGTTTGTTTTGGCCAATTAGTTCTAACATCCATTGTCCTTAATTTTCTACTGTGTCTGTGTTGTTTGTCATGGCCAATTAGTTCTAACACCCATTGTCCTCAATGTTATACTGTGTCTGTGTTGTTTGTCATGGCCAATTAGTTCTAACACCCATTGTCCTCAATGTTCTACTGTGTCTATGTTGTTTGTCATGGCCAATTAGTTCTAAAACCCATTGTCCTCAATGTTCTACTGTGTCTGTGTTGTTTGTCATGGCCAATTAGTTCTAACACCCATTGTCCTCAATGTTCTACTGTGTTTGTGTTGTTTGTCCTGGCCAATTAGTTCTAATACCCATTGTCCTCAATGTTCTACTGTGTCTATGTTGTTTGTCATGGCCAATTAGTTCTAACACCCATTGTCCTCAATGTTCTACTGTGTCTGTGTTGTTTGTCATGGCCAATTAGTTCTAACACCCATTGTCCTCAATGTTCTACTGTGTCTGTGTTGTTTGTCATGGCCAATTAGTTCTAACACCCATTGTCCTCAATGTTCTACTGTGTCTGTGTTGTTTGTCATGGCCAATTAGTTCTAACACCCATTGTCCCCAATGTTAAACTGTGTCTGTGTTGTTTGTCCTGGCCAATTAGTTCTAACCCCCATTGTTCTCAATGTTCTACTGTGTCTGTGTTGTTTGTCCTGGCCAATTAGTTATAACACCCATTGTCCTCAATGTTCTACTGTGTCTGTGTTGTTTGTCCTGCCCAATTAGTTCTAACACCCATTGTCCTCAATGTTTTACTGTGTCTGTGTTGTTTGTCATGGCCAATTAGTTCTAACACCCATTGTCCTAAATGTTCTACTGTATCTGTGTTGTTTGTCCTGGCCAATTAGTTATATCACCCATTATCCTCAATGTTCTACTGTGTCTGTGTTGTTTGTCCTGGCCAATTAGTTCTAACACCCATTGTCCTCAATGTTCTACTGTGTCTGTGTTGTTTGTCATGGCCAATTAGTTCTAACACCCATTGTCCTCAATGTTCTACTATGTCTGTGTTGTTTGTCCTGGCCAATAAGCTCTAACACCCATTGTCCCCAATGTTATACTGTGTCTGTGTTGTTTGTCATAGCAAATCAGCTCTAACATCCATTATCCCCAATGCTATACTGTGTCTGTGTTGTTTGTCATGGCCAATTAGTTCTAACCCCCATTGTCTTCAATGTTCTACTGTGTCTGTGTTGTTTGTCCTGGCCAATTAGCTCTAACACCCATTGTCCCCAATGTTATACTGTGTCTGTGTTGTTTGTCATAGCAAATCATCTCTAACATCAATTATCCCCAATGCCATACTGTGTCTGTGTTGTTTGTCCTGGTTAATTAGTTCTACTCCCCATTGTCCTCAATGTTCTACTGTGTCTGTGTTGTTTGTCATGGCCAATTAGTTCTAACACCCATTGTCCTCAATGTTCTACTGTGTCTGTGTTGTTTGCCCTGGCCAATTAGTTCTAACACCCATTGTCCTCAATGTTCTACTGTGTCTGTGTTGTTTGTCCTGGCCAATTAGTTCTAACCCCCATTGTCCTCAATGTTCTACTGTGTCTGTGTTGTTTGTCCTGGCCAATTAGTTCTAACACCCATTGTCCTCAATGTTCTACTGTGTCTGTGTTGTTTGTCCTGGCCAATTAGTTCTAACACCCATTGTCCTCAATGTTCTACTGTGTCTGTGTTGTTTGTCATGGCCAATTAGTTCTAACACCCATTGTCCTCAATGTTCTACTGTGTCTGTGTTGTTTGTCCTGGCCAATTAGTTCTAACACCCATTGTCCTCAATGTTCTACTGTGTCTGTGTTGTTTGTCATAGCAAATCAGCTCTAACATCCATTATCCCCAATGCTATACTGTGTCTGTGTTGTTTGTCATGGCCAATTAGTTCTAACACCCATTGTCCTCAATGTTCTACTGTGTCTGTGTTGTTTGTCATGGCCAATTAGTTCTAACACCCATTGTCCCCAAGTTTCTACTTTGTCTGTTTTGTTTGTCCTGGCCAATTAGTTCTAACACCCATTGTCCCCAATGTTCTACTGTGTCTGTGTTGTTTGTCCTGGCCAATTAGTTCTAACACCCATTGTCCCCAATGTTCTACTATGTCTGTGTTGTTTGTCATGGCCAATTAGTTCTAACCCTAACATTGTCCTCAATGTTCTACTCCCAGGACAGGCGATACTGGTTTGTCTTACTTGGTAACTTCACTTGTATGCTGGGCTTCTATGTTCCATTTGTCTATGTCCCAGAGAGGGCACTGCTGTTGGGCATTGGAGACGAGCAGGCTGCCTTTCTCCTTTCAATCATTGGTGAGTAGAAGGGGCATCGTGCACAAGCGTAGGGCACTCTTTAAAACATGCATGTCTTGTAGTCAACCCCATGCACTCTTTACAACAAAGATGTCTTGTAGATAATTCAATGCACTCTTTACAACAAAGATGTCTTGTAGATAATTCAATGCACTCTTTACAACAAAGATGTCTTGTAGATAATTCAATGCACTCTTTACAACAAAGATGTCTTGTAGATAATTCAATGCACTCTTTACAACAAAGATGTCTTATAGATAATTCAATGCACTCTTTACAACAAAGATGTCTTGTAGACAAACCGACGGGAACCAAGATTTGAAACTGTTAAATTGTCTAAATATTAAAAATAACAAAAGGGATAGGGCATGCTTTCATTAAACTAAATCTGTCGCATATTTCATAAACATGTGCTGGGGTTCACCTGACGTAGAGGTCTTCCATTGCCATGTTTGTATCCATAGCAACAGGCCTGCACAACAAATGGCCCCGCGAAGTAACGAAATATTCTTTTTATTATTTTTTCATTAATAGTTTTCCCCCTGTTTTTTTTTCCGCCCCATCAAGTTTTTTTTTTTTATAAGGTATTAAAACAGTACGGCCCGCAAAGGTTTTCATAAAACAGTACGGCCCGCAAAGGTTTTCATAAAACAGTACGGCCCGCAAAGGTTTTCATAAAACAGTACGGCCTGTTTAGGTTTTCATAAAACAGTACGGCCCGCATAGGTTTTCATAAAACAGTACGGCCCGCACAGGTTTTCTTAAAACAGTACGGCCCGCACAGGTTTTCATAAAACAGTACGGCCCGCACAGGTTTTCATAAAACAGTACGGCCCGCACAGGTTTTCATAAAACAGTACGGCCCGCACAGGTTTTCATAAAACAGTACGGCCCGCACAGGTTTTCATAAAACAGTACGGCCCGCACAGGTTTTCATAAAACAGTATGGCCTGCCTTACATTTTGAGTTGTGCAGATCTGCATTACAACATTGATTGTCTGTTTATAGAGCTCTTCCTTTACCGCGTGCGTATCCGTTACAATATTTTGGCTTAAATGATACAGCTTTACGTGTAACTAGTAACGATTATACCAAATACAACTTGCATTCATACTCGAATGTATAATGTCATTAAAATAGTATCGATACCCACGCAATACCACATAATAATTTAATGTTTACCACATACTACTTCCATCCATGTTTACCACATAATAGTGCCATGTTTACCACATAATACTTCTATGTTTACCACATAATACTTCCATGTTTACCACATAATAGTTCTATGTTTACCACATAATATTTCTATGTTTACCACATAATACGTCTATGTTTACCACATAATACTTCTATGTTTACCACATAATACTTCCATGTTTACCACATAATAGTTCCATGTTTACCACAAAATACTTCTATGTTTACCACATAATGCTTCATGTGTAACCACTCACAGCGTATCGATTCCTAAAGGTATCACCAACACGATCGGGCGAGTTGCCACTGGCATCGTCATCCACTTTTCACAGATCAACGCTGCACTGGTCACCATAGTCGCCCTTTGTCTGTGTGGTCTGATGACCATCGTCTGCCCACTGTGTCACTCATACGGGGCATTAGCAGCGGTGTCCGCCATCTTTGGCTTGTGCGTTGGTAAGTCTCATCTAGGTCCACATTATGATAAGTGACATGCCGCTGAACATCCGGTCTAGTTCCTACGGCAACTATCTTCTAATACCATACAAATAAACTATTCAATGTTAAAATTTGGTAATTGTGGTTATCATCTTATTGTTGGAAATATATAAGTTGACCAAGAAACTCGCAGAATCGTGTTATAGACTTGAAACTGTTACGTCACATAGGATTGTGTTATAGCCTTGAAACTGTTATATCACATAGGATTGTGTTATAGACTTGAAACTGTTAATTCACATATGATTGTGTTATAGACTTGAAACTGTTATATCACATAGGATTGTGTTATAGACTTGAAACTGTTATATCACATAGGATTGTGTTATAGACTTGAAACTTTTACGTCACATAGGATTGTGTTATAGACTTGAAACTGTTAAGTCACATATGATTGTTTTATAGACTTGAAACTGTTATATCACATAGGATTGTGTTATAGACTTGAAACTGTTATATCACATAGGATTGTGGTATAGACTTGAAACTGTTATATCACATAGGATCGTGTTATAGACTTGAAACTGTTATATCACATAGGATTGTGTTATAGACTTGAAACTTTTACGTCACATAGGATTGCGTTATAGACTTGAAACTGTTATGTCACATAGGATTGTGTTATAGTCTTGAAACTGTTATGTCACATAGGATTGTGTTATAGACTTGATACTGTTATATGACATAGGATTGTGTTATAGACTTGAAACTGTTATATCACATAGGATTGTGTTATAGACTTGAAACTGTTATATCACATAGGATTGTGTTATAGACTTGAAACTGTTATATCACATAGGATTGTGTTATAGACTTGAAACTGTTATATCACATAGGATTGTGTTATAGACTTGAAACTGTTATATCACATAGGATTGTGTTATAGACTTGAAACTGTTATATCACATAGGATTGTGTTAGAGACTTGAAACTTTTACGTCACATCACATAGGATTGTGTTATAGACTTGAAACTGTTACGTCACAAATTGCTTTGTCCCACAGCCGCCTACATTTCTATGTGTTCAATTCTGCTGTGTGACCTTCTGGGGGTCAGCAAACTCACCAACGCCTTTGGGTTTGTAATCTTGTTTAGGGGCATCGCCTGTGTCATAGGTCCACCCATGGCAGGTTAGTACACTACATGCCTCATAACATTTATTAATGTAGGTCCACCCATGGCAGCTTAGTACACAACATGCCTTCTAACATTTATAAAAGTGATTATAATTTTGAACTCAATTCTTCAATTTCTACATTTTTAAACACCAGCCATTTCTCCAACTTGTAGATTCGCATTTTTTTTTTTAAATATTGTTTTTATATTTTAACATTTGTTTATTAGAACTTTTAGAATAAATGATGATTTATTGTTTAGAACTTTCAGAATAAATGAGGATTTTTTTTTTTTTTTGCATTCATATTGCGTGTGTTTGTATTGATGGTATTGTTTGTAAAAGTATTTGATAATCAAGAACTGTTTGTTAGACCCAGTGATGACGCCAGCACTCCTTTAGCTAATGCTCACATTTGTCATTGTCAAACTAATTTTGATCAATTATTGTCATGTCAAGTCCAGCGTTTTTCTGGCTCATAATATTGATTTTCTCATTCCAGGTGCCATTATTGACTCCACTGGGGAGTTCGATCAAGCTTTCTTTGTAGGTGGCGCCATGATCGTGATAGGTGGGTTGTGCCACCTCATGCTCTACATACCATGCATTAGGAATTACAAAAAGCTTAATTTGGCCTAATTCTTTGATAATGGCTTTTAATAGCTCACCATAGGACCAATGTGGCTTGTAATAGTCCAGCATAGGACCAATGTGGCTTTTAATAGTCCAGCATAGGACCAATGTGGCTTGCATATTTAACAACTACTGAAACGACAGTGTCTACTTGAGGATTTGTTTCAATTTAACACCGGAAGTTGTGCTGATTGGGCCAATGATTTAAAAGACTGCCATAACAAAGGGAATTAACTGTGGTTTGTGAAACTTGTTCAAAAGAATGGGATTGCAAAGGAAGATAAAAGATTTGCTATTTAAAAAAATCCCTTTCCAGAATTTAATTTTTTTTAATTGAAATGTAAGCCAATGCATTCTCAGCACCTTGTCAATATTTAGTGCTGTTTTATTTGTATACCTATTTTGTATACCTATTTTGTATAGGCTACCTATTTTGTATACCTATTTTGTATACCTATTTTGTATACCTAAAACAAAAGCCAAAAATACAGGCAGATCAGCGAGAAGAGCGAAATAAATTTAGATTTTATTTAGTTAAGTGTGAGTGGGAAAAAATTAACTCAGTCGATATATGTTTGTTTTTTTTAAATTTAAATTAAATAGTTTGACAGAGTCTTAAATATATTTGATATTGTTTAAATGATGCTTAAATAAGTTGACTCCATCTTACAGAAGGGGACTCCATCTTAAATAAGGCAACTTTATCTTCAATAAGTTAGCTCCAAATTAAAGAAGGTAACTCTATCTTAAATACGTTGACTCCAAATTAAATAAAGTGACACCATCTGAAAGAATGTGAATCAAAAATGATGTGGGGAAAAATATGATATTTTTGTATTATGAGGGAAGCTGAACCATTTGTTCACGGCTCAATTTCTTTGTGTACATCTAAAACATCCAGATGTATGTCTAGAAAAGGCGGCCCACAAAGATACATCGTATGTGGATACATAAATTTATCAGTACACAGTTAAATGTGTTATATGGTGTCATTGTGCACATATATTGCTCACTCTACCACTTAAATTGAAAAAGGGCTAATAAATTAGAGAGGTGTTAAAGTTAAAGATATAAAAGTAAGAATTACTGTCTAACACAGACAAGTAAATGTAACAATGTGAAAAAAAGACTGTGTGTGACACAGAGAAGGAGCTGTAAAGATGTGAAAGAAAGACTGTGAGATGCAGACACGGATCTGTAAAGATGTGAAAGAAAGATTGTGTGACACAGAGAAGGAGGTGTAAAGATGTGAAAGACAGACTGTGAGATGCAGACACGGATCTGTAAAGATGTGAAAGACAGATTGTGTGACACAGAGAAGGAGCTGTAAAGATGTGAAAGAAAGACTGTGAGATACAGACACGGATCTGTAAAGATGTGAAGGACAGATTGTGTGACACAGAGAAGGAGCTGTAAAGATGTGAAAGGCAGACTGCGTGACACAGAGAAAGAGATAAGCCAAAACTATTACTCTAATTATTGTTACCATTGAGATTATTGTCATTTCGTTCACCCCACACATTTTAAACCCTTTTAAATGTATTTGAAGAGAGATTTTTGAATATTTTTTGTAACTTTAGTAACACTTGTATTGTTTCAGCTTATTGGAACTAATTCTGTCAATGTTTTACTTTACTAATTCTGTCAATGTTTTACTGTACTATTTCTGTCAATGTTTTACTGTACTATGTCTGTCAATGTTTTATTGTACTAATTCTGTCTATGTTTTTACTGTACTAATTAGGTCTAAGTTTTACTGTACTAATTCTGTCAATGTTTTACTGTACCAACAGCACCAAAGGATTCATTCCATAACAGATTACTTACTTTAAGAAAGTACTGACAGCACCAAAGGACTCATTCCATAGACAGATTACTTACTTTAACAAAGTACTGACAGCACCAAAGGACTCATTCCATAGACAGATTACTTACTTTAACAAAGTACTGACAGCACCAAAGGACTCATTCCATAGACAGATTACTTACTTTAACAAAGTACCGACAGAACCAAGGGACTCATTCCATATACAGATTACTTACTTTAACAAAGTACCGACAGCACCAAAGGACTCATTCCATAGACAGATTACTTACTTTAACAAAGCACCGACAGCATCAAAGGACTTAATTCCCTGCTTTATTCTCTGCATGTTTCACACATTTTAGGTCTAACTTTTCCTTTGTATCAAATGCATGTATTATTTTATTATTTTATTCTTATCATTTCATTTGTCTTTCACATCTCAGCTGTGAGGTATTTCATCTTACAGCTGTGATGCCTTTCACATCTCAGATGTGATGTCTTTCACATTTCAGCAGAGATATCTTTCACATCTCAACTGGTAGGTCTTCCAGAACCAACATGAGATTATATTTTAAGGACAAGAATGGGATCATACACTACAATCAAGTTGGTTTCAGTCCATAAAAATGTATGTAGCTGTGATATCCACATTAGGTGTTGTTGATGGTTAATAATATATTATGCATTCAATATTATTATAATTTTTGAAAATTAATTTTTAAAGTGTGTAATACATAAATAATGAATACAAACAGTTGTTATTATTTAAAGGAACACTCTTCAAATTATATTTATGTATATCATTTTTTCATTTTTTTAAGTGTGTATTGTTATTTCCAAACTATTGGTTTATTTTGTTTAAGTTGATTTACTTCCTGTACTGTATTGTTTATGTAGATCTTTGTGTTATTTTATTCATTATTTACATTTCTGTATATCGTTAATGTTTATATTATTGATAGATATCACTCTATAGAGGAGGCTTTCATTGTAAGCATGCTCACTGGCTTATTAGTGATATCAGCCATCATGGTAAACAAATGCTGTGAAGCATATACAAAAGTCTTTGGCATATTATAATTGTTGGAACATATCATAATTGTTGGAACATATTATAATTGTTGGAACATATCTAATTGTTGAAACATTATATGAAAAATGGTTGGTGTATCATTTGCTAGCTGGAGTACATTATTTTAAAAGAAAAATATTAACATTGAAGTGATTGCCATCACTGGTTCAATATATGCATCCGATAGTTATTAGTACATTAGTTCTTATGGTCATACTATTATATCTACAAAATAAACAAGGGGTCATCTTTATAAATAAGAATTTTGAATTGTATTGAAATTAAGTAGTTACAATTAACCATAAGGAACAATTTGTACATTAAGGCATGGATTAAATTATTTTATAAATTCAAATCTGTCCTTTTGAATGAAACATATACAAGTGGAATCATCCCGGTGCTTTCAGTTATTCTTTTGACCAAAATTTATTCCATTCTAAGATTTGACTTGTATCTACATACTGATTAAGACTGAAAAGAAATGATAATCCCTGTCCTTTTAAATCCTAACATTTTATGCTTCACATTATAAAAGGATTATATGATTATATCTAAATCATGACAATGTTCTCATGATATAGATTAGGCCCTATATCTAAGTCATGATAATGTTCTTGTAACATTGTAGTTTTGTAAAGATTTTTTTTTTTGACATACATAAGTGTGGCTTTTGAATTATAACTTGCATTAGTTTTTTTAAATATTGATCATTTTTATTTTACAAAGCTTGTTGCAATTGTTTTATTGCTATCAATCTAATAATACAAACAAATATTTTCCATAGTGTTTGAAGAAAAATGTTAATGACAAGCACAAAATGAAATAAAATATTTTTTTCTCTCAATTTATAAATAGTTCTAATAAATAAATAAAAGATTTTTATTACAAATAATACAATCTTGTTATTTTTTGTCATAAAAAAGTATCATTTATTAATACAAAAATTAGCTAGAGCATTTGTAGGTAGTAGTAGTCATGACAGACATTCATTCACTGCCTAGTAGTAACTGGATCTAAACACTGCCTTTATGCCATAGTTTCTTGTGCTTAAACACTTTGTTGTAAGGATTATTTTATAGATTTGCCAAACAATTTTCTGTTTTGTTATTCTAACATTAAGTTATAACTTAACTTAAAATGTAGAACTGAATTATGATATTTTTTTAAATAATGCAAATTTTATTATAGTAATATTCTAGTAATATTTTAAAGAATGAACATATAAAATAGTATACGTAAATGTAATGCAAAAAATAAGGATCTATTTAAAAATATAAAAAGTCTGTAAGGTAATTAAAGATACATAATTAAAGTTTTTATAAAGCAAATCAAAGCATTTCATTTTTAACAAGTTATATGTTTGGACATTTTATTTTCAAATTCAATAAAAAAATTTAAATGACGAAAAATTGTTTTGATTTGAATTGAATTTTATTTTCTCATAAAATTGTGTATAGGACCTAGAGACCGAGGCAAAAGCTTAATTTAAAAATTATTGTTTCTCATTTCTACTTTACTTCTGAAATAATGACAAGTGTTATCTTGTAGGAACTAATGTCAGCTTTACATTAGTGGTTCTTATTACAATTTAGTGTAGGACTTTATTTATATTTACTATTATATCTTTCCTTTAAATGGTCCTAAACTCAAAGTGACTGTAATATATTTAATTTGTTAGGTATATTAACATTTCAAACCTTGCTGCCAAACAAAGGATTTAAGATATCAATCACAACAAATAATAATATTAAACATAATATCATAAACATATTATTATAAAACATAATGTTATACAAATATAAAACAAAAAACTATAAAGCTTATCAAACAAATTAATATAAAAAAGATCCTATTTTAAAATAAAGACTATTGATAATCGATCATTGTGTGGCTTTGTCATTTGTTGGGATTGTGGTGTGTTAATTGGATGGGATTTTATGGTGTTATTTGTTGGGATTGTAGTGTATTATTTGTTGGGATTGTTTTGTGAAATTTGTGGGGATTGTATGGTAGTGTCATTTGTTGGGATTCTATGGTGGTGTCATTTGTTGGGATTGTAGTGTATTATTTGTTAGGATTGTGTGGTGGTGTCATTATTTGGGATTGTAGTATCATTTTTTGGGAATGTTTTGTGAAATTTGTGGGGATTGTATGGTAGTGTCATTTGTTGGGATCTATAGTGGTGTCATTTGTTGGAATTGTAGTGTATTATTTATGGGGATTGTTTTGTGACGTTTGTGGGGATTGTATGGTAGTGACATTTGTGGGGATTGTATGGTAGTGTCATTTGTTGGGATTCTATGGTGGTGTTATTTGTTGGGATTGTAGTGAGTCATTTGTTAGGATTGTGTGGTGGTGTCATTATTTGGGATTTTAGTGTGTTATTTGTTTGGATTGTGTTTTGGTGTCAATTTTGTGGGATTGTGTGGTGGTGTCATTTGTTGGGATTGTAGTGTAATATTTGTTGGGATTGTTTTGTAACATTTGTGGTGATTATATGGTAGTGTCATTTGTTGGGATTGTTTGTGTTATTTCTTCTTCTTCTTCTTCTATATCTTAAGGGCCCACGATCAATTTATTGATCATTTTGGCTCCTATGCATGTAGATGGGATGTATTTGTTTGGATTGTGTGTTTGTGTGAATTTTTGGGATTGTATGGTGGTGTCATTTGTTGGGATTGTGGTGTAATAATTGTTGGGATTGTTTTGTGACGTTTGTGGGATTGTATGGTAGTGACATTTGTGGGGATTGTGTGGTGGCTTCATTTGTTGGACTTGTAGTGTATTATTTTTGGGTATTGTTTTGTGTCATTTGTTTGTATTGTGTGGTGGTGTCATTTGTGGGGATTATATGGTAGTGTCATTTTTTGGGATTGTGTGGTGGTGTCATTTGTTGGGATTGTTTGTGTTATTTGTTTGGATTGCGTGTTTGTGTCAATTTTTGGGATTGTATCGTGGTGTCATTTGTTGGGATTGTATGGTGTTGTTATTATTTGGGATTGTAGTGCGTTATTTTTTGGGATTGAGCAGTTTATTTGTTGGGATTTTTTGTTTCATTTGTGGGGAGTGTGTGGTCTCATATGTACTATGATTCTGATAATTTTAATCACTTATTGTCTCCCTTCCCTGTCTACATACAAAGTAATTTCTTTACTTTCATTTGGTCAAGAATTAATTTTTTTAAAGTTAGGTGCATGTCATCATTCATACGGACATTATGGTGTATTACATTAATCATATGGACATTATGGTGTATTACATTAATTATATGGACATTATGGTGTATGCCATCAATTATAGTGATATTATGGTGCATGCCACCAATCAATGGACTGCAAGATGTATTATATTAATCAAATGGACATAATGGTGTATGCCATCAATCAAATGGACATTATGGTGTATTACATTAGTCATATGGACATTATGGTGTATGCAATCAATCATATGGAATTTATGATGTATTACATTAATCATATGGACATCATGGTGTATGTCATCAATCATATAGACTTTATCGTGTATGCCATCAATCACATTGACATTATGGTGTATGCCATCAAGCATAGAGACATTGTGGTGTATGCCATCAATCATATGGACATTATGGTGAATGCCATCAATCATATGGATATTATGGTGTATGCTATCAATTATATGGACATTATGGTATGCCATCAAGGATATAGACTTTACAGTTTATTACATCAAGCAATGGATATTATTTAAATAAAAACGTATTTACTGTGTGGGAAGTCTAGGGCTGTTTGGGTATCGTGTGTCTGTGTGGGACATCTTGGGCTGTTTGAGTATCGTGTGTCTGTGTGGGACATCTTGGGCTGTTTGAGTATCGTGTGTCTGTGTGGGACATCTTAGGCTGTTTGAGTATCGTGTGTCTGTGTGGGACATCTTGGGCTGTTTGGGTATCGTGTGTCTGTGTGGGACATCTTGGGCTGTTTGAGTATCGTGTGTCTGTGTGGGACATCTTGGGATGTTTGGGTATCGTGTGTCTGTGTGGGAAGTCTTGGGCTGTTTGAGTATCGTGTGTCTGTGTGGGACATCTTGGGCTGTTTGGGTATCGTGTGTCTGTGTGGGACATCTTGGGCTGTTTGGGTATCGTGTGTCTGTGTGGGAAATCTTGGGCTGTTTGAGTATCGTGTGTCTGTGTGAGAAATCATGTGCTGTTTGAGTATCGTGTGTCTGTGTGAGAAATCATGGGTCTCTGTCTCTCTGACAATGCATTAAATCTATTTCTTTTTTCAAAATTTAAGGAAGTTAAGAAGTAAATACTCTTTAGCACCAAATTTTATATATAGTTGTATTATAGCAAACACAAAGAACACTAACAAGGTCTGTCCAGCTGTGTGTCTATATTTTTAAAGTCTTGTTAGAAGCAAGATCACGTGGCCACACATCTCACTCAAGACACGCGGGCTCTACACATTGACAACAAAATGGACGCAAGTAACAATACAACAATCACAACACCAACTGATGTCTCTATGACTTCAACACCAACTGATGTCTCTATGACTTCAATGGCGACTGATTTCTCTATGACTTCAACACCAACTGATGTCTCTATGACTTCAACACCAACTGATGTCTCTATGACTTCAACACCAACTGATGTCTCTATGACTTCAATGGCGACTGATTTCTCTATGACTTCAACACCAACTGATGTCTCTATGACTTCAACACCAACTGATGTCTCTATGACTTCAACACCAACTGATGTCTCTATGACTTCAACACCAACTGATGTCTCTTTGACTTCAATGGCTCTCTATGACTTCAACACCAACTGATGTCTCTATGACTTCAACACCAACTGATGTCTCTATGACTTCAACACCAACTGATGTCTCTATGACTTCAACACCAACTGATGTCTCTTTGACTTCAATGGCGACTGATTTCTCTATGACTTCAACACCAACTGATGTCTCTATGACTTCAATGGCGACTGATTTCTCTATGACTTCAATACTGACTGATATCTTTACGATTTTTTGTTAAAAATGGAGATAGGTCATTAGTAAATTTGCATTATGTTATGTTGTGATTGATCTATATTTATTTTTAAAAATATTTTGAAGCATTAAAAAGTACAAGACCTAAGCATAAAACGTATAAGACCTAAGAATGAAACGTATAAGACCTAAGCATAAAACGTATAAGACCTAAGCATAAAACGTATAAGACCTAAGCATAAAACGAATAAGACCTAAGCATAAAACGATTAAGACCTAAGCATAAAACGTATAAGACCTAAGCATAAAACGTATAAGACCTAAGAATGAAACGTATAAGACCTAAGCATAAAACGTATAAGACCTAAGCATAAAACGTATAAGACCTAAGCATAAAACGTATAAGACATAAGCATAAAACGTATAAAACCTAAGCATAAAACGTATAAGACCTAAGCATAAAACGTATAAGACCTAAGAATGAAACGTATAAGACCTAAGCATAAAACGTATAAGACCTAAGCATAAAACGTATAAGACCTAAGAATGAAACGTATAAGACCTAAGCATAAAACGTATAAGACCTAAGCATAAAACGTATAAAACCTAAGCATAAAACGTATAAAACCTAAGCATAAAACGTATAAGACCTAAGCATAAAACGTATAAGACCTAAGAATGAAACGTATAAGACCTAAGAATGAAACGTATAAAACCTAAGCATTCAACTTACAATACCTAAAAAAAAAATTTACAAGATCTAACACAAAGAAACCCTAAAATCAAAAGTTTTGGTATGAAAGCTTTATAAAATGTTAATATCAAGAAATTTTTGGGGGGGGGGGGGGCTGAAAAAGTGACCAAACATTCGTTAAAATAACGCACACTATAAGCATCCGAATAGTTGCTCCCCCCCCCTCCCCCCACCAAAGGCTCGCAACCTCCCATTGTCTACCCCCCCCTGAGCTTTATTACTTTTCTAAAAAAGTTTTGGTATGAAAGCTTTATAAAATGTTAATATCAAGAAATTTTTGGGGGGGGGGGGGGCTGAAAAAGTGACCAAACATTCGTTTAAATAACGCACACTATAAGCATCCGAATAGTTGCTCCCACC